CTTTGAAGAGAGTATCCGGGACGCCTACCTCTCCACCTGCAGCTCCGTGAAGGTCGAAGCTTGCTGACGTGTGGGATGTGACGAAGTATTTATTTATTTTTTATTTTTTTATTTATTTTTGTTCATTTGTTTATTTATTTAGATCGTAAAATTGTATTATATCTTCATTGCCACGTTGACCCCAGTAGTTGACCCCAGTTTTAAGGTATTAGGCTCAGCAAGAGAGTCTTTGTGGGATAAAGAGCGAATACAATTTAATACTGTATAACATTACCGGATTAAGTATTTGTTGATATATGTTGTTGATGTTATTAATATTATCCATGTATTTTTTTGTATTTTTCTCCGTCTCTTTCTCCTCTCTCATCTTCTCATATAGCAGCAGCAGGGTGGTGGAGAAACTGACCCCTTCCCTATTGTTTTTCTTATTTGTTTAATTACTTGCTTCCTTGCTTACTTACCTACTTACGGTATCTCCTTTCATTCCTGACCTATCAGACGAATCCACAAAAGCAGTCATGACCAATTCCTCCCTTATATAAACTTACCTCATCAATCACGCCAGTTCAGGTCATCTCTGTGACGAAAGCGAAATTGGCACTTCCGTTCACCCTTGAGGCTATTGGGGAGATGGGGGGGGGAGCGAGAGAAGGGGCGATGGGGGGGTAGAGAGGAGGTAATAGGTAGGGGGGAGGGCATGGGGGAGAATTACAGGTAGGTAATGAGGTAGAGAGAAGGGGAATGTTGGGGGAAGGGTGATAGGGAATATTGGGGGGAGGGGGGAGGGGGTTTACCTATACTCAGCAGGTAATTTATGGGTAGTGAGGTCGCCCCTTGGAGTACCTGGGTGTATTGTTAGTCACAGGTGAGACGAGGAGAGGGCGTGGTTGGAAACTGACACTCGCCTCCTAACCTTAGAGGTAATCTCTCTCTCTCTCTCTCTCTCTCTCTCTCTCTCGAGGACGTCTTAATTACACCTGCTGAGGCTCAAACCCACCTTGGTCTGCACTGATTTACCACAGTGGAAAATTAGTAGTTGTTTTATTGAAATACTGCGGGAGTGACAGCGGTGTGTGTTGGACAATGCATCAGTCACACTGAGGAATTTACGCCGAGGTAAATAATTAATTTTCTCGCCAGTTGAACTTTTACAAGAAAACTTTTTGAACATTTTCAAAGTTTTGAACACGTAGTTTTACAGTACATATTCATTATAGTAATTGAGATGCATGACTTTTAATAATGAAAACTAAAAATGTTAATGTTTCTATTTTTTTTACCTTTTGTCATTACCTTAATAACATTTAATTAACAAGTGGTGGTTTTTAGTTGTGTCAACATGTACGTTGAGCAGAATTTTGGGTATTTGTTTGTAATCTATTCGTTAATAACCAACACAAACAACTTTCTCGTCTAGTCAAGGTACAGTCACCAGCGGAAACTATTATTCTACTCGTGTTTTATACTATCGAGCCCACCGGAGATACTACACCGCCACCCATGGGTACACAACCTCAGAGACTCGCTCCAGCAGGTCTGTGCCTCAGGCTTGTCGAGTGACTGTACATGATCTTGTGTATATCCCTAGTAGTAAATAATTAACGCACGTAAGCCTTCATTTCTCAGGTAAATCGTTTAATAATTCCTAATAGTATGATGATTTGTTTTTATATAAATGAATATGTGTCAAAAATAAAGAGGTCCAAAGAAAATAGCCCCGTAAAGCTGGCCATCTTGTGGAGATTTAAGTTTGGTGTTTCTGCGACGCCAAAGTTATGATGAATGTGGCAAGATTTTATCCCTTGACGCCAAACTTATAGCTGACGGGAAAAATGGCTTATAATTGTCTTGAGAAATATATTAGGTGTGGGTTGGCCTGGCGTCGTGGTGGTGTTGCAGAGTGTTACATGGCTGGTGGTGTTGTACGAGACCTGGTGTGTGTGTGGTGTATATGGTGTTGCAATTAGCAGTATATACTTATTACATCTACCTGGTATTGTGAGCTGGTATTCCATTGTATGGTGGTGTGGTATGACAAGAAGTTTTAAAAGCTACGATATCAGGATAATTTGATGTATTTCTAAAGGTTGTTGAATGACCTGTTGCTTGGTAATGTAGTCACCCAAAAAAGTCCTGTCGCGAACCACGATTCAGACTCGTGAACCCGAAGCAGTAGACTCTGATGCATTATTCTGTCCATAAATGCTTCGGATTCAAGAGTGTGAATCTCGGGGTTCATGGTTCGCGACAGGACTTTTTTTGGGTGACTGTACATGTTGTTTACAAGGTATAGAACATGGTCGCACTCTGTTGTAAAACGGTGTTCACAACATGGCTGCCAGTGGGTTTTTATTATGTTTTTGTTGTTTGTGGAGGAGTGAGTACGATTTTGTTATCTATTTGGATTTTGTTAACTATTTGAGGGGTGGGTTTTCGTTCTGTATGGTATTTTGGGGTAGGATTTTGTCATCTTATTTTTGAGGGATTGGGATTTTGTTAACTATTTAGAGTGGGATTTTATTAATTTTAGGAGTGGTGTTTCTCAACTTATTTTGGGCGGTGGGATTTTGTTTACTGTTATTGAAGGATGCGGTTTTGCCATCTTGGAAATAACCTAATGATAGTTTTAGCTGTGAACTGCCTGGTAGGTATTTGGGAAAAGTTCGTTTCAAATAGAACTGTTTTTGTAGACTAACTCCACTAACCCCTTCACTACGGGGACACCACCTAACCCCTTCACTACGGGGACACCTCCTAACCCCTTCACTACGGGGACACCACCTAACCCCTTCACTACGGGGACACCACCTAACCCCTTCACTACGGGGACACCTCCTAACCCCTTCACTACGGGGACACCTCCTAACCCCTTCACTACGGGGATTCTCCTAACCCCTTCACTACGGGGACACCACCAACCCCTTCACTACGGGGACACCACCTAACCCCTTCACTACGGGGACACCTCCTAACCCCTTCACTACGGGGACACACCTAACCCCTTCACTAGGGGACACCACCTAACCCCTTCACTACGGGGACACCACCAACCCCTTCACTGGGGACACCACCTAACCCCTTCACTACGGGGACACCACCTAACCCCTTCACTGCAGGGACACCACTCTAACCCCTTCACTACGGGGCACCACCCAACCCCTTCACTACGGGGACACCTCCTAACCCCTTCACTACGGGGACACCTCCTAACCCCTTCACTGCAGGGGACACCACCCAACCCCTTCACTACGGGGACACCACCCTAACCCCTTCACTGGGACACCACCTAACCCCTTCACTGGGGACACCACACTGGGGACACCACCTAACCCCTTCACTACGGGGACACCACCTAACCCCTTCACTACGGGGGACACCTCCTAACCCCTTCACTACGGGGACACCACCTAACCCCTTCACTACGGGGACACCTCCTAACCCCTTCACTACGGGGACACCACCTACAATATATGGCAAACACCAGTTAATTATATTCAGAGAGTGGACACAAGTGGTTAATGTTGATGTATGTAAAGGATATGTTGATTTATTTTTAATTAATTATTGGCATTGGGGATTACTGGTGGTTGTAGGAGAGAGAGAGAGAGAGAGAGAGAGAGAGAGAGAGAAGAGAGAGACTACATCCAGGGGGCGTTTTCTCTCTCTCTCTCTCTCTCACACACACACACACACACACACACACACACACACATACATACATACACACAGTGTCGTCACCTACACTCCGCTTCAGTGCAGCAATAAAAAAAAGTAATTTTCCCCATAACAATTTGGACTAATATTTACCCGGGCCATTTGACAGATAAATCCTGGGGCCATAGAGTCATTCAGACACATAAAAGAGCAATGAACTTGCAATTTGCAGTGTTGAACATGTTTTAAAATCCAATGTTTATCCATCACTCTTCAGTTAGTAGGCGTGTTACATAAACAGTAAGGTAATATAAAATCTGTATGAGTGAAAAATATTTTTGGGGGAGGGTTCTGTGGTGGTGGATAAATTTGAAGAAGGGAAAAAAAAAATCTTATACCGTTGAATATTCTCTCTCTTCCCCTCCCTCCGTCTCTCACTCTCTCTCATTCCCTCAGCACTGTTTGTGGCTTTCTCTCCGTGACGCGAAATTTATGGTCCGTAAACTGGCCTCACGGTGACACAAACATCACCCTTCAACCTCAACCCCCTGTCCCTTCAGCCTCACCCAACCCCTGTCCCCTTCAGCCTCACCCCTGTCCCTTCAGCCTCACCCACCCCCTGTCCCTTCAAGCACACCCCCTGTCCATTCAGCCTCACCCCCTGTCCCGTGTGTGTGTGTGTGTGTGTGTGTGTGTGTGTGTGTGTGTGTGTGTGTGTCGTCTCGATCTTCTCCTGCTTCACGTCTTCTGTTTTCCGTCTTTGTTCTTTCTCTTTTTCCGTTTTCATCTTTCCTCCTTCACCACCTCTTCCCCTTTGTTCTTTCTTTTTCTCTTTTGTAATTGCCTTCCTTCCTTCTCCTGCCCTTCTTGGTCTTCTTTATCTGATTTTCTTTGTGTGCTCCTCTTTCTTCTCGTTTGTTCTTTCTTCTCGTCTTTCTATTCTTCCCTTTCTTGCTCTTCTTCTTCCTCTGCTTCGCGTTTCATCTTCCTCCTTCTATCACACCCCCCCCCCCTTGTCCTAGTTCTCATCATCTACACCGTATATTTGTGGAGGCTGACACATATTACTCTTGCCAGCGAGGGAGAGAACTCTTGTTTTGGATTCCTCAACCTCACGTTTATTAGCGGGGCCGGTAGCTGCTCGACTTGGTTACCTTGTAGCAATGTTTTTCCTCAATGCGTGATATTAGTTTTTTTTCCCAATTCGTGATAAAAGTTATTGCTTTTTTTTTCCAATTCTTAACTACACTTGAAAAAATACAGATATGGATAGCCAGGTAGCCTTTTATTACCCATAGTATATTGTATCGTTATATTGACCGACTATGTGTGTGTTCCCTCCACAGGCACTGGTGCTGCCGCCACTAGCTCGGTGGCCTTACGAAGCCGGGTGGACCTTCACTACCTGGTTCCGCCTCGACCCCATCAACTCCGTCAACATCGAGAGAGAGAAGCCCTATCTATACTGGTGAGTACCCGAGTCTTGTTCTCACTACACCTACACCTGTGTATTGATCTTAAAGACCGCCGAGTACTGTACAATACACCTTCATTTACTTACACAGTTATACATACCTACATGAACATCTAAGTAAGAAACGTATTTTTGTTGATGAAAATTTGATGTACAGTATGTGATTATTTCTACGTTTACACCTTTCTATATTTATGATAAGTAGGCGATCTTTTGGGTTATCCACTTGGTATATATACTGTACATGTATACTGGTATCCACATGGGGTATATTTCTGTGTATATTTTTTGACCCGGGCTGTGGTGGGTTAGTTCGCCTGCGGGTCGCCACCAGCAAGAGTCTGCTTGATCAGTGTGGCGGCAGGCAAGTTTTTGGAGGTCTTGAAAACTTTGGAATTCTTTTACAGTAAAGTTTGGGTGAAGTTTTACGTAGACGCTGGAAAGGACGTAGACTGGCGTGCGATCACACACACACACACACACACACACACACACGTATACAGAAAAACTCGTATTTCACCGACTTATGAGAGACTTGTTTCTTCCTGAGGCTCCATTGTATGTGAACACTTTGTTATACGCCAGCACGCTTTAAAATTCGCCGGCACTCATGGATTTTACCCCCATCGCGCTTAAAATTTTTATCAGTTATCAAGATTTTTAAACAATACTATCTCGGTAAGCAATTGACCTTCAGTAAATGAGGATGGTGAAGTATGGTGACAGGTGAGTGTTGCAGTATTGTGAGAGGTGAGAGTGATGAAGGATGGTGACACTAGTGGAGGATGGTGACAAGTGAAGGTAGCGCAGGGACTGGCCTCTGCACCACGCCTCTGCTGCAGCTAATGTAATTAACAGCAACTTCTTCGAGACTTCATGATCAGACGCTAACTTCAGACTGTGTGTGTGTGTGTGTGTGTGTGTGTGTGTGTGTGTGTGTGTGTGTGTGTGTGTGTGTGTGTGTGTGTGTGGCTTAGCTGAGGGCGACCGGATTATATTTAAAGAGGAAGGTCAGGTCAGTGGTAGAGTAAAATATTGAGTAAAGTCACAGGTCAGTAAAAAAAGCTGAAGGTCAAAGTTAAAAATCAGGACCAAATATCACGGTCAAATGTCTAGTAACACAAAGGTCAGGGGACAAGTTTAGGGTCAGGATCACAAACAAGGTCAGAGGTCAAGATCAGATGGAGTATTTAATCAAGAAGAGTAAATACTTAGCGTTGGTTAGAGCTGGTCCAGGATATATATATACCGGGGATATTTGATATTTAATTATCTGGTTGATGAACTTATAATTAGTGTTTATTTGGCTTCGTAATTATGATATCCTGTGTGTGTGTGTGTGTGTGTGTGTGTGTGTGTGTGTGTGTGTGTGTGTGTGTGTGTGTGTGTGTGTGTGTGTGTGTGTGTGAGAACAGCCACGGTCCTGGTGTATGTGAGCTTGAGTTGAGTGTGCAGTATGTGGGCGTGAGTGAGTGATGGAGGAGAGGGAGAGGGCGAGTGAAAGATGGAGGAGAGGGTGAGGGAGAGAGGCCAAGTCTTCATCAAACCAGCCTTACGGTGTATTAGTCAGAGACAACACTCGTGTATTACATCTTGCCTCGACGAGTCCATCTTGTCGTGTGAGGCGTTGTTCTCTTGAGGTAGAAGAACGCCCTTTCCTTGATCTTTCCCTCCCAGGATATTTCACTGTCATAATCTTTTCCTTCCTGTCTCTCATTGTCTTGATCTTTCCCTTCCAGTTTCTTTCTTTGTCTTGAAATTTTTCCTCCCGGGATCTTGCATTGTCTTGAGATTTTTCTTTTCGTGTGCCTCATTGTCTTGCGAATTTTCTGCACCTATGAACGAAAGGACTGAATTGCAAGGACCAATCATGGCTTTATTCACGAGTCAGGGTAGCGAACAATCATAATTCACGCCTTTGTGGGCATGACTGGCGGTGATTGGACCTCGTTCTCTCAATGACGTGAGTTACTGTGCATTTCACTGCTAGGTATAGGTAGGTGAAGATTGGTTGGGTTAAATTAATTGATATCGGGTTAGGTTTAAGATTGTGTAGTTTGTAGTTCATCATGTGTAGAAGGAAAGAAGCTCATAGGACGTAAGTGGACGCCAGGGTGAGCAACGACCAATCAGCACCTTTCATGCCCACATTACCGTGGGTTCCACCCAAAAAAAAAAAGCATCCGGGAACCTAATATTCTCATTTGGATTTTCATCTCGTGGTCTTTTAATCTCCTCGACGGGGTCATTGTGACAGGGTTGCCAGATCTGTCTTTTAAAGGACAAGTTGTCCTTTTTGTGACCTGCATGTCCTCTATTTATATCCTTTTTAGCTTCCTTCTACTTATAAAGCTTAATGTAACATGAAGCAGAATACTTTACTAAGTAATATCCTGTTGTCCGTATCGTTTTTGTAATGCCTGTTTGTGACGACCTGTACTGAATCCACACGTTCATGCACCCTCTCCTCTCCCCAAAAGATGAGCGCCGTTCAGTACACGCGTCGTATGGGTCAGATTTGCCAGTAACGACCGACTCCACAGCCGCTCCCATTCCCTCCCCCTTTCTCCTGAGAGACGACGGTTCTGTATTGTACACGTTCAGATCGGAGCAGTGTCCAAGCGAAGTCCTTCCGATTTACTCCAGTCGCTTCAGTTAGCCGGGAAAAATCAAATAGCCGGGAAATAGCAGCTGCAGGGAAAGATATCCATGCGCGGTGCATCGTGGATCAAGTTAATCCATTCATTTAGTCAAGTTGAGTGACAGTGATGTTATTTAGCGACAGTTGGCCTGGCCTATATTTAATTTTTAAGATGGGCAAATGGAAAAACAGTTACAATGATTCCGGAAATTATAACAAGGAATGGGAGAAACAATTTAAATGGCTTCCCTGGAATAATAAAGCATGTTATTGTAAATGGTTCAAGTGTAGTCTAACTAATGTACGGAAATCTGCATTTGAGCAACATGGAAAAAAAAACGACAAAGCACAGAAAAACTCTTCATTCATTTACAAGTTCAAAGACGATAACGGGCACTTTCCAGAGCAGGACGGTGAACCCATGTAAAGAACTTAAAGAATTTGAAATAAAGTACAGTGTCTCAACTGCTCGTCACCGTAGTGTTCGATCAGTATATCATCAGTTGATTGCAAAGTACGACAAAGGCAGTATCCTTGAGAAACTGCAACTGCATCGGACAAAGTGTATGAGTTTAATAAAGAATGTGGTTTCAGTGACTTTATTTGAAGACTTAATTGATGATCTGAAAGACAAAGTATTCATTGCTAATTGATGAGTCTACGGACATTAGTGTGACAAAGCTTTTATGCATGTGTGTGAGATACTTTTCCAAGAAAGAACAAAAAGTACAGACTTCATTCCTTGGTATAATACCTGGAGAAAGGGAGGCAACTTCCTTTGATGAAATTTTGTCCATTGAATTTTAAAATTTCAGTTAAGTTACATTTTGACTGTAAAACCTATGCAACCAAAAATAACATATGGTTTCTCTTTTTTATTAATTCCACAAACTTGTGCTGGTAGTTGTCCTTTTTCTCCTTAAATGTCCCTATTTTACGGAGAGGTTGTCCTGTTTTGGGGGAGGAGCATCTGGCAACCCTGATTGTACAGCAGACTGTAATTTTTGCAGTCGACCATAATGATGATGATGGTACGGGAGGTGGCGAGATGCTTGGCAGCCACCATCAACCTCTTTCACATTACTCTTGAAGATTGTTTTTCTTAGACGCTGTTAGGGACATTTGGGAAACAACAGCACAGTACATTATACTAATAAGTATGTTCTCAAGGAGGCAGCGTCGCCCACATTGTTCTCCACCGCCTCCAGTTACCTCAACTTGTAACGTTAGGTACCCGATTACAGCTGGGTGGCCTGGGAGGTCCCCGGTATCGAACCATTGACCTTTAGAACAGCCGCCGCGCCCTTTGGAATAGGTATCGGTGACTTAACTCCAGCTTTCTCACTTTCGCACATAAAAAAATCTATATTACATTTTCAATTCTAAAATTGAAATGTGATCGGCGAGCCTGTCTTAGGTGAGAAATACCAGCACGGTTGTTTCCCTGACTGTGTTGGACTGTTCGAGTAACTCCCACAAGGCAGCTACCGGTAACGTAACTGTGTTTGATGATGGTAGAGCAGCAACCATCCCCACGGAGCTTAGCCAAGTGTTAAAGTTGACGGGAAATTGTCTGTTGAAAGTAAACCCCATCGTAGTTTTATTATTTTGGTCACTGGAGGCTTGTAGATATTGTCCAGGATATTTTGTTAACTGTGGTATTTAATTATGCTAAGATAAGGACAAAATAAGCCTTAAAAATGTTTTGTAAAAGTGTCTGGCTCTTGATGTTGGTTTACGCCCTTGACATCTTCACTTACTGCCCTTATTAAATGTTGGAAACTTTTTGAGTTCAGATCCCGAAGGTAATTGGTAATTAATACCTATGTAATTGAAGATTAATTTTTAATGTGAAAATATGTATCAGAGCTCGAATGTTTTTATCTATCCATTTTTTCCGTATAAATTGAAATTGTAAATAGATGCTGTGATAGACTACTGCAAGAACTAAACGATAGAAGCGTATCAATTAATAGGAAACTCGATATATGTAGAAATGAACCGCTTAAAGTGGAGAGAAAAAAGAGAGATGCATACAAAAAAATACTAAAAAATATGAATAAGTAGAAAAACAGAAAATGAAATACAGGATAAAATAATAATTAAAACTTAAAAGAAAATAGAAAACGGAATACATAAAAAGAATGTTGGGAAAACTTAAATAAAAACACATGAAAATTTAGGAGCCAAATAAAAATGACAAACAATAAAAAGTTTAGGGAATGAAAAAATAAAAATAAAGTACAGAAAAAAAAACAAGAATGGGATAAAGGCAAATGTGGAGAGTGAAAATGGAAGATGAAAAGCACACACGAGTAATGGAATGGGGAATTGGAATCCATGAGACTGTAAATAAAACATCAGTGGGTAGTGAC